CACAGCAAAATAATAGCCGACTTCACACACATTCGATGATGCGCATCGATTGTTGTTTTTTTGCCGACGTTACGCAGCCTAAAGCACCAGTTACCGTTATGGTAGCAATTTCAATGGATGTTCTTCCTTCGAAACACCAACGAGAGGCAAGGCGGTACGACATTTTTCGGTCCCGGAAAGCTTAATTGCACAAATAAGGAATTCACAAATGTACATGGAAAACAACCATCCACGTTTCAAGTACGCATGCTGTAGCCATAACAAATCTAAATTGGCGGACGCCTCGGCAATCTTCTTGTCTTTACGATAACAAAGATTTACCTTATGAATACTGGTCTTGATGTAGAGTGCATCAAAGGGACCATGTTCATTAGAAAAAATTCACTTACGCTATCGACCTAAATAGGCAATTCCTCGACATGCAGCCTTAAATTAAATGAAACGAAATGTTCTACCGCCTTTTTTTAATTGTGTGTATCACTTGGACACCTCTTTGAATAAACATAAACAAAGATCGACAGCCCGCCTGGTAACCTAGCGCCCATCACTTCACCCAACCTGGATACACATCATTACATGAAAGATGAAATCTTTAGTTCGCTTCCGTGTGCATGAAAGGATCTCTGCGTGTACCAAGAAGGAAATGAAAAATCGATGTAGATCATCGGAAGACCGAATATGCGAAGATTGAATATCACAAAAAGGACCAACAATGCCTCCCTCGGAAGTTAAACAGAGGAAAACAAAACGAGCAATTCATGAATACCCGTGATCAATGTACGTGCGTTGATTGGACCAAAGTGCCGATCGGAAAATTTTGTTGTCGATTTGGTGAAAAGCAATTGGTGTTTATTCATTCCCATACGGGTTTCATAAGAGGCAGCACTACGATGCGATAGTTGGATACGATGGTTAGTTCATGCGAACTTGTTTGCAAGTAGGGAAGATTTTTTCACACGATGATTTTTAAATATATATATAAATAGAAGTGACACGAGCATGTACGAATGTATGTTTAGAAGTCGAGGAACTAGGAGAAAGAGAAAAAAAAGCCTCGTCCGCCATAATAATAAAGTGTGGCTTGCATTGGATGTCAGAGTGTGGTGTCAATTGTCAATCGCGGGGTGATCAAGTGTGTTACGGCAAGGGGTTTATTATTATTATTATTATTATTATTATTATTATTAATCGGGTGTA